TTCTTTCATCCTTCTAGTAAGAATATTTTTATCTCATGACATGTTGTTTTTGATGAGTCACTTTTCCCATATAAGACTAATCATCATAATACAATTCCCTCTCTTACACCGCATGTAAGTACATTTGACTCTTGGCTACCTCATACTAACTCCAACTCTTGTGCAGATTTTATAGCAATAGCTTTTGCTTCCGCTTCCACACCACCATGCTCATGCCCTTTACCAACACCTTCAGTTGAATCTTTTGCCTTATAGCTTCATATTGCATTTATTGATCAACTAGAATAATTCACATACCTTGAACATGAGCAACTTAAGTCACAACATCCACAAACTCAACTAAAGTTTGAGTTTAGGTCTCCCACTTCAACACAACAACTCGAGTTTATCCCTTCTACCCAATCTCAACTCCCACATGGCATGGTGATCTTAATCACTATGCCATATGGAGACATTCCACACAACCTACATAATATTTTCTCTACAATAGCATACCTTGGATGGTAGGTTGTCATGTGTGCGAATAACTTGAGGCCTTACATAAAAAAAAAAAAAAACTTAGAAACTTGTTCGTCGCACCCTTAACTTGCATCTTATTGGCTCTAAATGGGTTTTCAAATTAAAACTCAAACTTGATAGGTCTTTAGATTGTATCAAGGGTCACCTTGTTGCAAAGGGATATCACAAAATTAATGGAGTGGACTATGGTAAAATCTTCTCTCCCATAGTTAATACATGCACCATTTAGTTAATCATCACTGTAGTTCTCATTCAAAAATGGCTCATTCGATAACTCAACGTAAAAAATGCCTTTTTGCATAGTATGCTTTCTAAAAACATATACTTGGAACAACCTTTTGGCATTACTAACCCTCAATTCCCTAACCATGGTTGTAAACTCCAAAAAGCACTTTATGGCCTTAAATAAACACCTCATGCCTGATTTGACCGCTTCAGTTCTTTTTTTCTCAAATATGGTTTTTTTTGTAGTATGAGTGACCCATCTTTATTTATTTGGCACTTTGATGTTGGATCACCTATCTTCTTCTTTATGTAGATGATATACTCCTCACAGGATCCACCATCACTCTAGTTTCTAACTTAATCAAACTTTTGCAATTTGAATTTTCCATGAAGGACTATATATTGCATCACTAATTCTTCTTCTATATGTAGATGGATTTTCCTTGACATTGAGATACTCTCAACATCCCAATCACACTATGCCCTTACCATCCTTGAACGAGCTAACATGGTTGATTGCAAACCAATGAGCACACCGCTTGAAACTAAGACCAATATGAAATCCAATAACACTCTTCTTGATGATCCAAGCTACTTTCATGGGCTTGTTGGAGCCTTACAATACTTCACCTTTACTTTCCTTGATCTTTCATACAATGTTAATTATGTGTCTCAATCTATGCATTCTCCTACTACTATGCATTTAAAAATGGTTAATTGTATCTTATGATATGTTGAAGGCATGCAATATTGATGTAGGTCTTCACTTTACTTCAAACACTACACTTGATCTTTTTGCCTTTTCTGATGCAGATTGGGTAGGTTGTCCCACCACTCGTGCTCTACCACTGACTATTTTCTTGTGACAATCTTATCTTATGGTGTGCTAAGAAACAACCAACAATTTCTCGCTCTAGCACTGAAGCTAAATATAGAGCCATGGAAAACACTACAGCTAAATTCACATGGTTGACTTTTTTCTTGAAAGATCTTGGCATTTCACTTGACCCCCCCCCCCACTATTTTACTATGACAATGTCAAAGCTCTTCACATGACCATCAATCTAGTTTTTCATGCTCGCAACAATCACATTGAATTGGATTATACCATTTTGTTCGTGAATGAGTAGCACTTAGCCATCTTGTCACTCACCACATTCCTACTAATCATCAAGTTGCTTATTTGTTCACTAAACATGTGTCTTATTCTTGTATGCCTTTTTGGCCAAATTGTACCTTCAACCTTGACCTTATATGCGGGAGGGTATTAACATTAACCATCCATCCATGGATGATAATTATGAATAAAAAGGAAACAAGGAGCTAAAGCATATAAAATTTCTATAATTGTGCCACTAACAGCAGAAAACTGTTAAGAGGATTAAAGTGCTCTAAATGACATAAATCAATCTCGCAAATCAACCAAATTTTAGCTAAACATAATAATCAGAAAACTTTGTCTATTTTTTGAACTTATTAATTTAGAATTATGGAAAAATTTTATACTTAATTCTATATATTTTCTATATTCCTCTTGTATTATATTTGTGTATTCATGTTTTTAATAAAAGTCATATCATTTATCTTTTTCTTCTCCTTATTCTAATTAACCCTCTTCTTGGCAAAGATGAATTTGAGGGGAGGAGAGTGGATTTAAGGAGAATGATAAAAAGATACTCTGGCATGGTAAAAGGGAAAGAAGGGGATTTGAGTGAAATTTATATAGGACCACATGAATAGCAATTACCTTAAAAAATGGGAGGATTTGAGTGAATTTTTGTTCAAAGATGTTAATGTCCCTTTCTCTTATTCAACTACTAGTGATTATTTACTTGTTTTTACTTCTTTTATGGTCCTTCATATTCGAATATGCAAGATTATATTCCATTATGGTACCTCGTAGTTGAGTATATATGCAAGGCTATATTTTATTATGGATACCTCATATATATTTGAATATGTTGTGTATGTGTACTATATTCTAATATATTATCACCCTAATGCATTATCTACATATAAAAAACATGCATTAATGCATCCAAGGATAAAATGATAATTTTATGTATTGTTTATTTTTACATAAAATTCTAACTTAATAAAATACAATTTTAATTAAAATATCTATTCACCTTTATTTTTTTTTATCTAATTTCACTCTATCAATCAACTATAAATTTTACTATATTTTGTTATTAAATTAATTCTCACTTATTCCCTTCAATCCCCTCCACTTCCTCCCTTTCTATCATGCAGAGGTAGGAAAAGATAGATAGAGCAATGAAAAGAAAAGGAAAAAAAACAATGACATAAAAAAATCACCTCTAATGATGGTGTACAATAATTGGTGGTGAAAATTGTTGAAAATAAGAATAAGATAATATTAATATAGTATGGAAGATACATGATAATAATTTAAATTCAAATTAATCTAAATGTTATTTGTGGTGCACAGAGTAATTATAAATGAGAATTTAGATTTAATCTTGTTAAACTTTAAGATGAAATTTTATTAACATTTTTGTTTTCAATCGAAGACAGTTGAAAAATAATCAAAATATATTATAAATAAAATATTTCTATTACTAATATAAGTGAACTTTTTTTTTATGAATATAATTGATGCAATTTTTAAAGCTAATAATTAATTTATACTATAATTTTTGTACAGGCTAAACATTATTTTTTTTCTTGTAAGTTAAAATGGAATATCGTTATTAGAAAGGAATCCAAATTTATATTTCTAAATATTTAAAAGACATCACTTTTATCATCCAAAAAGCTTTCAACAATAGTTTCGTCTTTGTCTACTGCTACAGTCAATAAGTGAAAATCATGGAAAAGAAATGACTTTTATGGTACGTATTTTAAATTGAAGATTTGTGAACGAATAACTATCCAAAATTTATTTAAATTGCCAATATAAAAATTATTTTCTATTTTGAATATATATATAAAAAAATCAATTCCTATGTATTAAATACGAATTTCTATATTATATGAGAGTTTTTTTAGTAAATTTTTTTCGGCATGAAAAAATTTGTAGGTTTTTTTTTAAAATTTTTCTAATTTAATTTTATTTATCATAACTATTATAAATTAAATATTGATATTTTAAAATAATTTATCAATAAATATATAAAAATAAACTTTTGTTATAATATAAATTATTTATAATAAATTTAAAATAATATATATATATATATATATATTTATATACTTATGTATATTAATTTTAAATATAATTTATATATTCAAATATGATACTTATTTATATATAATTTTAATCATGTATAATAAACATGTTTGTGTATTGAACATATTAAAATATTAGTTTTATCTATCCATAAACCTATTTTTTATATATTAATTATATAGTGAATTTTCTTGTTCTTTTTCCTCTAACCTAATCAGATTAAACAACAATATAGAATTCAACAGATTGGTAAATAATTATAATAGGAAAGGTATTATCATTTAAAAGTTTTTTTTTAACTAAGTTGTGATTATTTAATCGAGGAAACGTGAAGAAGAAGAAGAAGGAGAAAAAATGTTACAAATTTATATCTCCCACCGTCATATATTTCGTTTTCATATGCATAACATTAATGTATTAATATTGTATGACAAGGATAGATATCTTGGTATACATTTAAATTGCATTGATTTAAATCTTTTAAATTCCTTTTGTCAATTTTAGAATGCAGTGGCACTTGAGAGCCCGGAAAGAGTTCCATCCCGAAATTTCTCCGATGCCTACCAAAAGACAGTTTTATTACAGCCAATGAAGCTACGTGTATCGCAAACAATGACACTCACCATACCATATTCTGTATCCAAGAATTAGGTAGAATTCTCTTCATAGAACGAGACCTTTCATTTTCCTAAACATTTTTCATTGAAAAGTAATGTTTATGCTTTAGATTTTTTTAATATTTATTTTTAAGGTAAAGAAAAATAAACATGCTGTCCATATATATTATTTCATGCCCAAGATACTCTCTTCTTAATTGGCATGCAGGCTATGAAATCGAAATCCACGTTTCAGAAACGCTTAGGGACACAACCATTCCAAAACGCTTTGGGACGCATTGCTCCTAAAGCCAATAACAAATAGTCAAATAGCAATAGCCTTATATAATTAATATCATGATGCATATGTATGTTTCCGGAAGGCTAGCTATGGATCTAAATGGTATTGAATGAAACTATAAAATGGGTTGCCAAGGTTTCCAAATTAAGTTATTGTGGCATGCAAAATGGGGTCTCTAATGGCCTCTATTTCTCTCACTCTTGCATTAGCCATAATCTTTTTCAGTCTCCCATTTGAAATTTCAGGAGACCACTATGTCTCTCCACCACCCCCTTACAAGTACCACTCTCCTCCACCTCCAACACCAAAGAAACCTTACAAGCACCCATCTCCACCACCACCACAACCCAAAAAGAAACCATACAAGTACCCATCTCCTCCACCTCCACTGCACAAGAACCCTTCCCCTAAGCCTCATCCAGTGCACCACTCTCCTCCACCACCACCACCTAATAAGCCATACAAATACCCTTCCCATCCACCACCTCCACCTAAGAACCCGAACAAATACCCTTCCCATCCACCACCACCACCTTCTAAGTCGTCTTATCCACACAACCCTCCTCCTCCTCCACCTTACCACCACTAGTATCACACCACGTACATGGTGATCTTTTATAACCTACGTTAACATGCATATTCAACCTATTGCATCATGTTTTTGCAAATTTTTTGTCTATAAACCACTTTTATATTCTTGTCACATAGTTTATCATATTTACTTTTTATTTAATCATATATTTAATAAATTTTTCTTTTAACTCTTATAATTAATTTTTTTTTATCATAATACAAAAGTTTTCTTTTAATTGTCTTTATAGTTTATTTTTTCAATTAAAATTATAATAATGATATTAACGTTCAAACTTAAAATTCTGTATATTCTATCTAAACTCTCATTATTAAATTGATGGTAGTGATTCTTGCTTTTATAATTACACACATATTTCTTTTTAAATCATATATAATTAAATAAATGATATAAACTAAAAACACAAAATGATATCTACAAAAATTAAAAGATAACATTTTAATTATAAGAATTATAAAATAAAGTACATGAAACTATGAGATAAAAAGTAAATAAATTTAATTTTTTTATTTCTCTTTATTTCTTGGCTCTCTTCTTCTTGAATCTATGTACCCTGTTAGGGTGTGAATAAATGATTTTCCATTGACATTATATTATATATGATAAAATATTTCTCTTCTCTAGACTCTAATCCACTTTTTTGTCTTCGTTAAAATGTATCATGATTATAGTATTTGATTGTTAACTATATTCTTGATATGACACTAACATTCATGTTATGAAGCATTCTTTAATAGGATTTGGTTAAGTTTTCAGACATCCATCGACTGACATACCCATATATATGTATTTTTGTAGGATCGATCTAAAGCAGAAAGTTTGAAAACATGAAAGCCATGAATGGGGACGGAGCACTTCACAAAAATATAGATAATAAGAGGAACTTTCCATGTATTATTAATTCGTCGAAGTGTTTGATTATTGTTTAGAGAATTATCCTTCTTAATTATATTGTGTTCTATCGTATTGGACAATTGTAAGGCCCCACTCCCTCCATGTACTGTGGTTGTTTTCATGCAACGTAATTTACAAAGGTGTCTTCCTATATCAGGCTGTCAAGTCAATATATAAATATTAGCTCTCTTATTAGTTCTCGTATAATATTTTGTTAATTATAACAATACTTTACGTTTGTTTTAACTATTTTTGAAATTTTACTTTTCGATATTAAATTTTTATTGCTACTATATTAAAAAAAAAATTGTAGCACATTTTAAGATAAATAAAATTAGAAATAAACATGCAATATTAATACATGTCTACATATATATAGCTAAAGAATTTGAAAATATATAAGCACCCAATACTAATAGTCTAATATAAATCGAAAGAGTAAGAGAAATAGAAGAAAATTAACAACCTTTGAAACATCATCCCTTTTAGTTGGTTCATTGTATACGATACCATCAGAGGTTTACATACACGTGTTTTACAATGATATGATATTATATACCTTGAGTCTAAGTTTTTGTGGATTTACTTTTGGTTCTTACTTACAAATTTCATACCAATGAAAATTCTATGTACTTCATAAATCCTTGTTTCACTTCATGCATGTTTCAATGACTTGAGACTTTTTAAGTACCACAATAGTCATTCCTTCTAACAAAAGGCTATGATTTAACCTAAACAAAAGACTATGATTTAACATTCTTTTCAGCGAAAATCCTTGTTTCATCCATGAGTATTAATTGTGACCCATATAGGGTTTAATCTCTGCTTCAACTTTTTTCATCCATGAGTATCAATGGTGACCCTTAAAGCTTAGTCACACTTGTTAACTCTAGATTTCGTTCAAGACTCCAAGTTGATTACTTGGTTGACCATTGACTTTGATATCACTATTGGATATCAAAGGTTTACACGAACATATATATGTCTCTATATTGATATATGTTGTCCACTCAAAAAGTTTTATATCAATGAAGAGTAAGTATGTTTTATAAACTCTTGTTTCTCCTTATATTTTAATGATGTGGGACTTTATTATACATAATATATTGAGGGGTTTAAGTTTCAACACATTAGTAGACATTTTTATTAAGCAACAATGATCAACACAATCACAAGATAAATAAATTTGTTTCCAAATTTTAAGAAAAATGAATGAAAAAATATATATTGTTTTGTGGTAATATATAGTCACTATCCTAAAAAAAATATTTGGTGAACATCTAGTACATATACAACCCAATATCCTTTTCTCTCTAAAGTTCACACAACAACATATTTAAACTTGTGCAGTGGGCCAAAATATATTGGAGTCTTACAAACAATATCTAATAAAAATTCAAAATAAAAGGAAAATGTAAGTAGAAACATGTTACACGTGTTCTTACGATTAGAAATGTCAAATAAGTCAATCGAATTCAACATATTGAAATGAGTTAGATTGAGTTGGACTCATTTTTTTCATTAAACTAGTTGAAAATTCTAATTAAACTCGTAGATTACGAATTGAGTTGATTTGTCATGTCAATTATTAAAAAATTATATTTTTGTTTTTATTTTATTTATCTTAAATTTTATTCAAATATTAGAATCAAATATAATTGAAAATAAAAAATATTATAAAACTAGTAATACATTAAATAATTCAAATGTTCAAATAAACATTTAATTAATTACAATAAAATAAGTTAACCAATTTTTTTTTTTTTAAAAAAAAGTGCATGATAGAATCACAAATAATTTAATTAACCATAAAATAATTAGATAGTATAATTATAAATACTTTTTATAAATAAATTATATAAAAAAAAAAATAAGTACCCGTGAATAAGTAAAAGTTAAAAAAAAAACATATATAGCTCAAGGGTAGAACAAAATTAGATCAAGTTATCTTGTAAAATTATGGTTACAAATTTATCACAAATATAGTTTTTATTATTTAAGAAGATAAGGGTGATTTTATCTAAATTTTAGGAGTGTAAACAAATACGGATAATTCACGAATTCGAACTGATCAAAATCAACTCAATGAATTTAGATTAGATTTTTTCAATTTTTAAGTCAGGCTTAACCCAATCCGATTGACATCTAGTACAGGTCGAGTAACAGATTTATATTTTTAACCCATTATCTAGTCATATAATAATAATAATAATAATAATAATAATAATAATAATAATAGTAATAGTAATAATAATAATAATGTTTGAATAATTATTTGTTCCGAATAATACTTACTATCACTCTTATTTAATAAAAAAAATTGTATTTTAAATTGATAATATTATAATAATATAATATATTTATTTTAAATTTTATTTTATATTAATTAATATTAATTTTTTAATTGACAATAATGTAACAAAATCATAAATTTATTTTAGAATTTAATTTATATCATTATTTATTTTATAAATTGATAATATTATATTTATAATAATATATTAAATTAAATAATGTATATTTATTTTAAAATATTTAAATTTCTTAAAAAGTAAATAAAATTAATTATATTAATTTAATTTAATCTGTTCATGATTGAATTAAACTAAATTAAATATTAAAAAAAATTACTCATAGATGTGACCTAACCCAGTGTACATCCAAATCTGAAGCAACCAATCCGTTTAGACCTACTAAATTTTGTGACTTTTATTTTCACGATACATCCTGAGTTTTCAATCACTGCTCCACCGCGTTGTTCAGTATTCTCTGACCCCTTCATGAAAACAGATCAAGTTACATCACGGGTCTGATCATTTTTCTTTTTCTGGAACCAAGTTGAAAGAGGAAGAGGAGAAAAAAAAAATTAAATTTAGTTTTTTTATCAATAAAAATTAGAACAACTTACATATCTTACTCGATCTCAATTATGTTTCTTAATAAATTGAAATTGAAGAAACAGGAGAACGAAGATAAAATTAATTTTTATTTCTAAAAGTTTTTTCCCTTATTTTCTCTCATTTCTGTACATTCAATCAAATATAGCATAACTTCATCTTCCCAAGAAAGAGGGAAAATAGAAAACAGAGATTACATTGGATAACTCATCAGTCTTCGCCAACTCTAGTAAGCTACAGGTACAAATGCACAATGGCACGTGAAACGGTGCTTTCGGGAATGGAGCATAAAATACAATTTTTTTCGCATAAACGATAATGTGAAGAAATAAATAAAATAACACAATAATCAAATAGGTGATATTTTAATATCTTATATATATTTGACCGATAAGAGAAATTTGGGTGAAATTTTTATTTAAATTGTAGAATCTTATTCAAATTAAGCTTCTATATTTATGTATTTACATATAACATCCGGTCAGTGTCTTCAAATATAATAAGGTCAATATCGACATGCATTAGCTGGCAATGAAAGTTCAGCTCCCATTTTTAAATGTTTTTTCACTTTTGATTATTGTCTATATGCCATCTCCCAAGTTGATGCTTCCCACTTCCTCTTCTTTTCTCTATAGAGATGAGAGGTTAAATTAAACTATATAACAAGCCTTATTAACAACTATTTGCAATTGCGATGATCAAAATCTAGCTCTTTTGATAATATTATTCAAATATTGGTACTCTTTGATAACGATTATTAGGGTTCTACTTATTTTGCTCTAAGTAATGATAAGTGTTTTTGGGTTAATATATAATGATGATAAGTTTGACGCATAAAAATAGAGGTAAAAATAAGGAGTGTCGGCGACAAGGCAACTAAATGAACTAATAGCCCAAGTTGATGCTAGGTTATGCCTCAAATCAGTACGTAGAAAAGTGAAAAACCATTCACAACTGTGCATTCGAACAAAATAAATTGATTCAAAATAATCAATTACTATTGCAAACGTAGGTGAGATACATTTTTATTTTTTGGTCACACATACATAGATTATATGCTTCGATCGTATATATGTTGTTTTTCTAATCATTAAATTTTATTTCCCACGTATTGAATTATAATTGTTCTTATTATCTGATGAACAATTTACAGGAATAAATAATTTAAAGAAAATAATACATGAACACATAATTTGAGGAAGACAAATACCCAAAATCATGGATGTTTAGCAAAGTGATGTTTCAACGTTAGAAACAATAAATAATAAAATCAGATTCTTGTCTTTTCTTCCGCCACGTAAAGAAAAAGAAAGGTGGTGTCAACATTTCTGAGTTCTGACTAGCTACAGTCTGGTTAAGTTGCAGCGGCAGTGTTATTATTTCTTTTACTCTTTTTTACGCGTACACATTTTAATTAATTCACACACATTTTAATTCTATTTAACTATTATTTTTACCAAACTTGGCTTAAAAAACAACCGGTAATGAACAAATTCCAAATCCGTGTTCCAAATGGTTTGGATTCGGATCTCGTTGTTGTAATAAAAAGTCAATATTATGCCAATAATTCAAAGATGGATAGTATTATATGGTGTTTCCAAGAAGGTGAGTAAGGTTAAACAAGGTGTATGGTGAGATAAATGGTAAAGAAACAACTATAAAAAGAGCTGCATTAGCTTCCTTACAATCATAACCAAAACCCATTTGAGAGTAAACACTTGGGATTGGAACAATGGGGTCTTTTGTGGCCTCTGCTTCCATCACATTGGCATTTGCCATTATCTTCTTGAGCCTCCCATCTGAAATCTCAGGAAACCACTACTCCTACACCTCTCCTCCACCACCCAAGAAGCCCTACCACTACCCCTCTCCTCCACCACCTCATTACCACTACTCATCTCCACCACCACCACCAAAGAAGCCCTACAAGTACCCATCACCACCACCCCCAGTTCACAAACACCCCTACCCTCACCCTCACCCAGTCTACCACTCCCCACCCCCACCCCCTCCCAAGAAGCCCTACCACTACCCATCTCCCCCACCACCTGTCCACAAACACCCCTACCCACACCCAGTTTACCACTCCCCACCACCACCACCCAAGAAGCCCTACAAATACCCATCTCCCCCACCACCAGTCCACCACCATTACCCTCACCCACACCCAGTCTACCACTCTCCACCACCACCTCCCAAGAAGCCCTACAAGTACCCATCTCCTCCACCTCCAGTGCACAAACACCCCTACCCACACCCTCACCCAGTGTACCACTCACCACCCCCTCCACATAAGAAGCCATATAAGTACCCATCTCCTCCACCACCAGTTCACACCTATCCTCCCCATGTTCCCCACCCAGTTTACCACTCTCCTCCTCCACCACCCTACAAGAAGCCTTACAAGTACAAGTCTCCTCCTCCTCCAGTTCACTCTCCACCTCCTCCTAAGTACTACTACAAGTCACCCCCTCCACCTTACCACTTCTAGATTATGCTTTCGCATCACCCCACATGGTAACCTTTTTATAAATCTTAGTTTAAATGTGAATTAATTTATGAAGTCTCACATCTAATAAAGATGGATATTTTGAACAACATATCAGGAACAAACATCCACAAAATGATGTTCTAATCCTTTGCGTTAAAATATGACGTTAAGTTTACTTGTTCAATTTGATCATGGTTTAATGGTGTAGATCTATTTGTGTTTAACTCCTCTTTATTCCCGGCTAAAGAAACATTCTTTTAGTATTTGATGTTTTTAGTCTCTATTTAATGTGGGATAATATCTTATTGTATTTTATTAAGAGATTAGATGTGGACTGACAGATTATGTATGTACGTGGTTTTGTAGGATCTAAACAGAAAGTGTGAAAATGGAAGCCATGGACGAGAAGGTGCACTTTGCAGTATAAGTGCTTCGATTATTGTTTAGTTAATAGTTATTGTGCTTGTTTTTTATTTATTTCTATATTAGACAGTTGTAAGGCACTGTGTTCTACATGTGTCTGCAGATGTCTGCATGCATTGTAATTTTCAAGGTCTGCTTTATCAAGCTGACAAGTCAAATAAGTTATTCTCTCTATCACAGTGGGAATAGATTTGCCCTTGTATCTCAGCCTTTTTATAATCGTCGTAATAATAACTTACTTTTTCAGTGTTAATTGGTTTTTAATGACTGCCATTTAATAGTGAATTATAAAGTATTACGCTCACGTTTTTAAATATAAGTATTTGTTAATTTATTAATTTCGGACAATATTTTAAGAGAAATTAACAACAAGCATAAAATAATAATACATAGCAGACGTAAGCATTTTAGTGAGGAAATAGATGGCGAGAAAATTGTTTTTTTTTTTTTATCCCCAGTTGAGTATTCCGTGAAGAAATTCTCTGTTATTGATATTGCTGACGATATAGTAATAAATTATTTGTAACACATTTACTATATTTAAAATTTATTAAAAACTATCCAATTATTAGTGATACTTAGTAATTTAAAAAAAATGAAAATTATTAATACTCAATTTAACCTCCAGTTTCGGATTTATTAAGTTTCTTAAAAGGTGAGTTTTAATCCAGCTAAATTTTACATTAACGGGGAATTGGCTCTTGATTATATATATTTTTTATTTTTTAATGTTTTTTTTTTATGTACAATACTATTACGTTTCGTGTATGAATAAAGTGGAGATTGCTTTTTTAGTAAAAATCTAGGATGTATTCTTTTAATGCACCTTAATGAAATTAAGAAAATGAATTTGGGTTTAATTTAATTTTATAAAATTAATTTTTAAAATAAAAATGTCAAGTCTTTTCTTGTAAATTAGTTTAGCATTCAATTTTAGCTCCACTTTTTAATTTTAAATCTTAAACCCTAAACTTTAAGCAAAGAAAAGGAAGAACAAAGAAATGAGCTTAGAGAGTACATTATCACCTTGATCAATTAAGCTCTAACTATTTTCAAGAACTAGAAGCCTCTTGTACTCTATGTAGCTTTGAATAGAAAATTACACTCTTAAGTTCTCAAGGTCCTTGGCATCTAAGAAAAGAAGAGTAATGTTTATCAATTAAAGTTTGTCCATCCCTATAAGCAAGGCTAAACATACTCTATTAAAAGCCTAGTATTATAGATAACTTACAAAAATTAGAATTTTTTTTTTAATATTTGTAATGATATGATAGATCATTATAATTATTATATTTCAGTTGCTATGTAGTGAAAAATTAAAACAATCATCTTAGGGTTTTTATGCATCAATAATTCATGTCATTTATACATGTACATGGTAGTAATTAAAATGACTAAAACTAACAAAATCCTCATAGGGATTACATACACACCCTGTACATATTCAAATACATCAAATATATAATTGTATACAAAATAATCATACTAACTAGTCAAGCATCTATATTCAACCAAAATTGCATAAGAGTATGTCACCACAAAATTGGTCATCTCCTGCATGACTTTTAAAAAATTCAAACAAACAAATCTTTTTAATTCTATCATACTCTCATACAATAATGATAAGCTGGTGAAAAAAATCAACTTGGTAATCAAAACTAAGCAACTTACAATAATACAACACAAATAGCTTAATCATTGCTAAAAGCAATTAAACATGTCAACTTTCAACTTATAGACAACATCATCACACCAACATCTAAACAACTTATAACACAACAACAAAATTATCATAAAACAACTCTAAACAACTAATGATCACACATGTTAAATACATAGATATCTTATAACAAATACGAGCATTTTAAGTGGCTAAACCTTACCAAACACAATGTTTGACATATCGTAATCAAGTTAAATATAGACAACTTCAAGTCTCTCAAAGAACTTGTTTAACAACTCAATTTGATTTATCAAGTATTGCAACTTAAACTAAGAAGTTTAGTACTTTATCAAGGTATAACAAATTGGGTATGAGCTTACCACAACATTAGCTTACACTACTAAGTCTCCTACGGAATTAGTTCACTAACTACCCGTCAAATATTACGCCTTTCCAATACTTAGTAAGGGGCATAGTCCCCGATCTTGTACTTCACTCAATTGATCACTTTATACACGTATGCCTCTCAACCTAGTATGCCTCTCAACCTAACCCACATATAGATACCACATAAAACTTAAAAGAGATAACTTAAAACAACGACTCATTTAGAAGTCAACTTACTTACTGAGGGGTCCTCAATTAGACTTTCAGAACAGCACAACTTATATCTATACAATGAGATATTTTAATTTCTAAAACATCTTTTTCTCTCTTTTAGTTTTTATGTATTTTAGCAAAGATATGTATCTGCACTACATGTCTAACAACTTGATCAACTATAACATCATACAACTTTACAACTATATCATCTTCATCATACAACTTAATCAATATAGTTTAAAGTGTATATATATCTACCCTTAAGAAAGTTTAGTTTTTAAAGTGTGTTTAGATTACATTTGTTAGCTTATATATCTATGTAGTTGATCTTTTGTATGAGATTTTTGTTCTAAATAATAAGCAATGCAAAAAATAATAACTAGTAAATTATTAATAAATAATTATTAAGTTTTAACTCTTAATATTTTGTTGATTTTAAAGATTAAATAGATTTAATGACAAAATAGATTTTAATAATTTTTCATTAAAAAAAAGATACATAAGAAAAGTAAAGGCGTTTCCATACTACCCCATGAATGATGTATAGAAGATAAAAAAAAATAAAAAATAAAAAATAAAAAAAGTATATCACATGGTGAATGATGTATACTTGTGTCGAAGACTAAAGTTCGATTAATTTTTGTAAAGATAAAATGCATTTCTTTCATAGTTCATAATTGATGCCACCTCCCCAAGAATGACTGTAGAATACAAAAATCAATTCCGTTGCCGGGACTCGAACCCGGGTCTCTCGGGTGAGAGCCGAGTATCCTAACCAACTAGACTACAACGGATGACTGCTACTTCAATAATATTACTTTTTAAAAAATCGTTTGTTTTTTTATTCAGCAGTAATTATATTCTAAAGCAATCATTCTTAAACAAAACAATCAAATTTTACTTTAATTGTTTCTTATTTTTGTATTATTTAATTTATCAAATTTCACTTTAATTGTTTCTTATTTTTTTTAATATTTAAAATTTCTAATTTTCTCGAGCAAATCTCGATTGGATCTAGGCATGACAATCTAACCCACCCCATAAGTACATGCCCGAATCCGTCCCGATCTAGATGGAGAAAATCCGTGTTTATCAAATTCGGGTTCGGATTTTTCCTTATTGATAAAATCGGGAGCAGGGGCGGGAATGTTAATATCCACCCCGCCCCGCCCCCATGTCCGTCCTCGCTTAATAATATAAATTAGTTGATTAATTTTTATGTTTAAAATGTTAGATGGTTACACTTACATGGTGAAATTGCATGATTTTGATGGTTGTAGTTGAACTTGGGGTTTTGGGTTCATGAAGGTGAATTTGATGAGGTGTGGTTGGAGCAAACCCTAGGAAGTTGGCTACTTGGAGACCTATATTGGATGGCTTACGTAAACGACTATCCTCTTGGAAGCATAGGTATTTGTCAATTGGGGGGAGGGTAACCTTAATTAATGCAGTTTTGAACGCAATGCCCATCCATTTTTTGTCATTTTTTAAAGCTCCGAACTCGGTGATTAAGGAAATTGTGGCCATCCAACGTGACTTCTTATGGAGAGGTGTCAAAGATGGATCAAAGATACCTTGGGTAAAATGGGAAACGGTATGTAAGTCAAAAGATAAGGGTGGACTAGGAATCAAGGATGTCAGATTGTTCAATTGGGCACTATTGGGGAAGTGGGTGTGGAGGTGTATGATCTCTCCAAGAACGATATGGGCTAAGGTTCTTCAAGGTAGGTATGGGTGCATTGAGTCCTTTCCTAAGACTCCAAATGTCTAAGGTTTTGGCAAATAGATTGCGTGGTATTCTTCCATCAATTATCTCAGAGAATCAGTCTGCATTCATTACTGGTAGACATATGTTGGATAGTGTTTTAGTGGCGAATGAAGCTATTGATTATGCTCAGAAATATAAGAAGTCGATTTTTGTTATGAAGATTGATTATGAAAAGGCATATGACTCTGTGGAGTGGGATTACTTGTTGTATATGCTCAGAGGGTTTGGTTTTGATGAGAGATGGGTACGGTGGATGGAAGGTTGTGTATGTGGGGGTAGTTTATCAGCACTCGTAAATGGGAGTCCCACGGTCGAAGTAACTATTGGTAGGGGATTAAAGCAGGGAGATCCATTAGCACCATCTTTGTTCCTAATTGCTGTAGAAGGCCTCAGATTGTTGATGACCAGGGCCTTAGATATGAATCTATTTAAGGGATTACAATTGGGTGGAGAAGGTCCATTAATCTCTCTTTTGCAGTTTGCTGATGATACTCTGATAATTGGAGAAGCTACTATGCAGAATTTGTGGTGCTTAAAGGCCATATTGCGATGTTTTGAGTTAATATCTGGTATGAGAATTAACTTCCACAAGAGTAGCGTCGTTGGTATTCACTCCGGGGAAGATTTTACTGAGTTGGCGGCTTCTTTTTTGCATTGTAAGTTGGGTCAACTACCGTTTAAGCATTTGGGATTACCTCTTGGAGCAAACCCTAGGAAGTTGGCTACTTGGAGACCTATATTGGATGGCTTACGTAAACGACTATCCTCTTGGAAGCATAGGTATTTGTCAATTGGGGGGAGGGTAACCTTAATTAATGCAGTTTTGAACGCAATGCCCATCCATTTTTTGTCATTCTTTAAAGCTCCGAACTCGGTGATTAAGGAAATTGTGGCCATCCAACGTGACTTCTTATGGAGAGGTGTCAAAGATGGATCAAAGATACCTTGGGTAAAATGGGAAACGGTATGTAAGTCAAAAGATAAGGGTGGACTAGGAATCAAGGATGTCAGATTGTTCAATTGGGCACTATTGGGGAAGTGGGTGTGGAGGTGTATGATCTCTCCAAGAACGATATGGGCTAAGGTTCTTCAAGGTAGGTATGGGTGCATTGAGTCCTTTCCTAAGACTCCAAATGTGGATAAGAGGGATTCTTGGTGGTGGAAGGATATAGTTTGGGTGCTCCAACAAGGAAATTATTGGTTGGATGAAAAGATTGAACGTTGTATTGGTGATGGGTCTTCAACCAGATTTTGGGAGGATAAGTGGATAGGTGGTTTACGTTTGTTGGATGTCTTTCCTCGTTTGTACTCCTTTGCTTTTGATCCGTTGTCAATGGTGGGTCATAATGGTAATTGGGAGGGATCTACATGGCTGTGGCAGGTTAAATGGAGAAGAGAAACTTTTGTCCATGAAGAAGGAAGTGTGAATACATTAATAGAAATGCTCCAGGAAATTCAAATTTTCTCTTCTAAACAAGATCAATGGAGATGGATTTGTGATAAAGATGGTGTATTTTCAGTGAAAAGTGCGTACTCTTGGCTGCAACACTCGATGGGTGGAGAACTTTCATATTCTTCAGATTTTATTCTAGTCACAAAAAGTCTTTGGAAATGCAAGGCTCCGATCAAGTGCTTGGTGTTCTGTTGGCAGGTATTCATGATTGCATTCCCTTGCAAATCATTGTTACAAGTTCGTGGTGTGGAGGTGGAAAATAACCTTTGCTCTCTTTGCTCTTTATTTATAGAAGACCCTATTCATCTCTTTCTATTGTGCCCAATGGCTTTTAATATTTGGTTATCTGTAGCCAATTGGTTGGAGGTAGAGGTGGTCCTTCCAAATTCCCTAACTTCTCTCTATCTATATTGGACGAATCTTGGTATTTATAAAAAATCCAAGCAGTGTTTTAAAGTGGTCTGGGTGTCTGTAATTTGGTCACTATGGCTTCATCGGAATGGTATAATTTTCCAGCAAGGTGTAATGGATTGCAAGGAAGTGTTGGACAATATTAAAATGCGGTCATGGAAGTGGATTAAAAGTTCTGTCCCTGGTTGTTCTTTTAGTTACTCTAATTGGTATTTTAGCCCACGTTTGTGTATTTCGTAATTTTTTATTAGGTTTTGAAATCTTCTGTAATGGGTTGGAGTACCCCTTGTACTCCTTTTAATCTAATTCTTTTGCTTATCAAAAAAAAAAATTCTTTTATTTTTTTTAAAAATTATTCATATTTATTTATAATAAAAAAAGAAGAAAAAAAATAGAAGCGGGGCAGGAAAACCCGAATTCCGCCCGAACCCTGCTAGATGCGAGGATGGAGACCCATATTTTATCCCCGGCAGGTATTGGGGCGGAGGCCATTTAGATTTAAATTTGCTGGGGCGGGGAACGTAAAACCCGCTCCCGCCCCGTTGCCATGCCATGCCTAGTTGGATCCTCCTGGCCTCCCCTTAATTACTAAACACATCAATGTCTACAACGGAAATTAGTTCTTCCTTTTCTGAAGGAAGGTTTTTATAGTTGAGAAAAGTTAAAATAACATGGATAATTTGCACGGAATGAAAATGAGAAAAATGGGACTATTTTAGCAAAACTAAATTGGTATCATTGGTGTGGATCGTTGAATTTAAGTCTTCTTAAGAGAGAAGAAATATAAAGACTCAGAAGACTAGTACCAAAATATTATACCGAATTAAATGAACATGACATAAGCGAAATAATATACCATACCATGAGCTTGGATCAGTATATGTTAATTATTATAACCTTTGGTACATTGTACATACATGACCTAGAATGGAAATATTTGGATTTGCTAAGGTGCATAGCTAATAAGAAGCATAATTGTGTGTTGCTATTGGTGTTTGGGCAACCATTGCAGCAGAAACCATTGTGTTCATTCCACACATGCCATGCCCTCGGCAGAGCATGTAATACCCATCTTCTCCCCATTTCTTCCCCCACGAATTCTTGATGATCCAGTAAGGTCTGTTTCCAAGCCTCAGAATTGAGAAGCCTTTTGCACCATATCCCACTAGTAACACACCATGGTTCAGCCATTTCTTGCCACCACATATGAGAGGGCATGAGACACCACCAATGTATGTTTGCATGAAAACTGAGTTCAGACCCACTGCACATTATATATAGTTCATGAATGTTGATTTATACTACTAGCTACATGTTCATGTAAAAAGTGATGCAAATATTATAATGCTATAGGGACTGTTGATTTTATTAAAGGGGACTTACTAGCAAGTGGACCGTGTTTGACTAAATATGCAGCAATTTGATTTTCATCCACTGGGATATTGCTGAAATTTGTGACCCTAACTGCTATTTTCTCTGAATCGAACTTGCATTCACCTTTCTCCCCTGTGTATGGATATGAAGACTCCTCCTCCAACCCACCAGCCTCTATCAAATAATTGTAGGCATTTGTCATAAGCCCTCCATAACACCCATTATCACAGGAGCCCTTTTCGGTTATGTCACACTTGAAACAAAAAAAAAACATAAAATTGATTTATGGATTATCACAAGACATAGCCGATTGGTGTTAATAAACACACCTTGTTGTCACAATCTACTAGCTGTTGCTCACTGAGATTGAGGAGCTTTCCGGTGGCAATAAAATTGGCTCCTTCTATAGATCCTGTGGTGCTAAAAGCCCAGCATGATCCACATTTACCCTGCATCCAAATAATGCACACAGTATCCAAACATTTCTTTTTGTAAAATATATAAGATACACATAAGACAGTTTAATTACATCTTCTCATCATTAATTGACAAAGGAAAATAATTGAATTTTAATTTTTTCATATACCCGCCTTTTAAAGAAAAATTCTATGGTTTTTTTAATCTTTTCATTGTACCTATCATGTACTCTTTTATTTATTAAAAAATATTAAATATATACTCTCAATATTTTATCTCTGAAATAACCTATAAATTTTTATATAAATCCTAAATCCCAAATTATTGAATTATTTCCTTTGAATGATTAAACAAATTTTAAATCTAAAATTATTGAACTTAATCTCTAAATTACCAAATTATTGAATTATTTTCTCCAACTTAACCTCTAAATTACCAAAATATTAAATTATATCCTCCAACTTGAAGTCTTAATTATCAAATATTATTATCTCCGACTTAAAACTTCAACTTTAAGTTGGAGAAAATAATTCAATCAATTGGTAATTCAGAAGTTAAGTAAGAGGAAATATTTCAATAATTTAAGATTTAAAATTTATTTAATAATTCAAAGATAAAGTCGGACATAATAACAATTTGGGATTCAGGATAATTTTATTTAATAATTTAGAGGAGCAAAAAATCCAATACTATGGGATTTTGGGATTTAGGATTTCTTTAATAATCCAGAAAAAACCATACAAATTTATTTTTATTTAATAATTAATAATAATTTGAGATTTAAGATATTTGGAGAAAATAATAATTCAGATTTATTTTTTTAATTAATAATAATTTTATTCATCAATAATAATTTGGAATTTATTTTTATTTAAATAATAACAATTTTGAATATAGAATTCACATTTATTTTTATTTAATAACTAATAATAATTATTAAGAATCATTTGGAAGTTAAGTTAGAGATAATAATAATTTGAGATTTAGAATTTACCATTTATTTCAATAATTTAAGATTAAATATTTATTTAATAATTCAGTCGGACAAAATAACAATTTGGGATTCAGGATAATTTTATTTAATGATTCGGAGGAGAAAATAATTCAATAACATGGGATTTTGAGATTTAGGATTTATTTAATAATTCAGAAAAAACCATACGAATTTAGTTTTCTTTAATAATAAAGAAAATAATATAGGATTTTTTTTTAATTAATAATAATTAGGGATTTTTATTTAATCATCAATAATAAAACCCTAAACCCTAAACCCTAAACCCTAAACCCTAAAAACCCTAAACCCTAAACCCTAAACCCTAAACCCTAAACCCTAAACCCTAAACCCTAAACCGAATTTCATACTCAATATGATACATAAAAAAAATCATACTCAATACCATGCATAGAAAAAAAAAATTTATGTGGAAAAATAAACAGAATTTCATACTCAATATGCATACAAAAAAAATTCTGTGGAAAAATAGGGGGATGCAGACTCAATTTCAACTAAGTGGGATGCAGACTCAATTTCATACATATAAAATTTTGTGGAAAGTCATTTTCCCCAAACCCTAAACCGAATTTCATACTCAATATGATACATAAAAAAATCATACTCAATACCATGCATACAAAAAAAAATTATGTAGAAAAATAAACAGAATTTCATACTCAATATGATGCATACAAAAAAAAATTCTGTGGAAAAATAGAGGGATGCAGACTCAATTTCAACTAAGTGGGATGCAGACTCAATTTCATACATATAAAATTATGTGGAAAGTCGTTTTCCCCAAACCACAAACCCCCAAACCACAAACCCGAAAGGGTTTTTTATGGGATAATTATTTCAAGTAAGTAAACAGAATTCATACTCAATATGATACATAAAAAAAAATCATACTCAATATCATGCATTCAAAAAAAAAAATTCTGTGGAAAAATAGGGGGATGCAGACTCAATTTCAACTAAGTAACTAAGTAAGCAGAATTTCATACATATAAAATTATGTGGAAAGTCTAATTCCCCAAACCACAAACCCTTTCGTGGTTTTTTTAAGGGGGTAATTATTTGCGTTCTTTTGCAACTTAGAGCATCTCTAATAGGATTGCTTATAAACAATTCTCTGTACCACATCACTCCCACATCAACTATGACTCCCACATCAGCTCTGGCCCATCTTATGAATTGCTTAAATTTTAACAGAATTACTTCTTCATTGAAGATGCTCTTACTTTTAAGTCAAAAAGTTTGCACACATAACTAGGGATGGCAACGGGGCGGGGACTCTGACTCCCACATCAGCTCTGGCCCATCTTATGAGTTGCTTAAATTTTAAGCAGAATTACTTCTTCATTGAAGATGCTCTTACTTTTAAGTCAAAAAGTTTGCACGCATAACTAGGGATGGCAACGGGGCGGGGCGGGTACGAGTTTCATGATACCCGTCCCCGTCCCCGTGAGCCAAACTCATTCCCGTCCCCGGCCCCGTCGGGTATGTGATTTTCATCCCCATCCCCGTCGGGTATCGGGTATACCCGTATACGTACCCGTCAAATTTTTTTTTATAAAATATAATATTTTTAAATTATTTTTTTAATTATATTATAATTATAATCAAGTTATTTCTTTATCTCATATTGTAATAAATAATCACACATGAAAAAATATTAAAATTCTTTAATAAAATTAAATTGAAAGTGAGTATTAAATTAAAAATGAGAACGGGGACAGGTACGGGTACAGAGAGCGGGTAAGTATATACCCATACCCGTACCCGATTATACCGGGTATTCCCCGTCAAAGTCAGGACGGGTTCAGGTATTACCCGCCATCCCTACACATAACAAAAGTGTTAATTAAAATCAAAACACAAAAAAAAATGGAAAATGCTTTATCGTCTGAAAAGAAAAACCAAAATTTCGTCCAAATAATTAAAAAATTATTATTTTATAATAAATTTATTAAAAAATTTAATTATTATTTTATAATAAATTTATTAAAATAATAATAATTTTTTAATTATTCGGACAAAATTTCAGCTTCCATTTCAGAAGCTGTAACAATGCTCTAAAAATAAAATATAAGCACATGCACTTAATTAAGGCAAAAACAAAATAATTCCGATGAGATGAAGAAAAATGAAACCCTAAGTTTATATATACCTGCGTTTTCACTTCAGTGACAGCTCCTTTCTCTCTCCAATCAAAATTCTGTGGCAGGTCATCCACCTCAAGCGGCGGCGCTACACCATTATTCGACGGGAAGCCGCCATTGACGCCGGTATAGAACCGCTGAAACTCGTCCTCAGTGAGATCAGAGAACTGCGTGACGCCGTGGACGGCGGTGGGGTCGAGCGCCTGGTGCTCCGCCGCTCTGACCAAGTTGTGTGCGAAAATCCCTAAACGCCGCAAATACTCTTCCCTGGTGGAGTACCTTTTCCCGTAATTCTCCATGAAAACCTTGAACTTCTTCTCCGTGCGCAGAACCTCGTTGTCGCCCAGCCTCAGCTTCGTAGTCACGTCCTTAATCGTGAGTTCGTGGCTTTCTAGAGCGGAGCATAGGGTTAGAGCACAGAGGAAGAGTGAAGCACGTGCCAAGCACGTGATAGACGGGCCTGGCTTTGCCACCATTTTCGTGTTTCAGCTTGATCTTCTTGTGCCTCGCTTTTAATGGTGTTTTCTTCGGTCACCATTACGTGGCAGTGTATGGAAAGGTGGCAGCATGTAGTGATAAAGCTCAACATGCAGCGTGACACGTACGTGGCTACGGATGACAAACTATGAAACTATACAAAGGAAACTCTAAGTCGAGGTTTAAAGTTTAAACTACATAAATTTCTCTTTTCAAATTTTAAAAGCTGAAAGTTATATTTTAATTGGACAATAAAAAGAAAAGAATTTTTGTTCGGGCTAGTTTAAAGTTTTTTTTTTATAAAAAAAACAAATTAATATAAATCGTGCTTTTCAAAACCCAAATGGCGACAGGAAACGTGTGTGGCTCTCAGAACTTACAAGCTGATACTGTGGCCTCATTATGACCGCAAACAGGGGTGGGCAAAAAAAACTAAACTGAACTGAACTGAACTGAACTTGTGGTGAACTGTACTATAAAAAATTGAACTGTTTGTAAAAAAAACTGAACTGAACTGTTTAAAAAAAACTGAACTGAACTGAACTGTTGTAAAGTTGAACTGTACTGAACTATAAAAACTGAACTGAATTATAAAAATTGAACTATTTTTATAAAAGAATAAAAATTAAATGTGTTTAACATGTTATGTCTTAATAGATTAGTTCGATAGTTTAATAACCAAAATTTTAGAAAAAAAGTGATTTGAAAAAAAATTGTATCAATTTTGTTGAACTTAACGGATCAATTGAGCTATGTTGAACTACTTATTTTTAGGCGTAAAATTCACTGAGTTTGTTTGACTTAATTTTATATTTTTTTCCTTTGAAAAATTTAAATAAAATGGAAAATAAAGTAAAGTTGACAAATGTGTCCTATTTTGATAGATCAATGAGTCAAAATTGTTCAATTCAAAATATCATAACAGTTTAGTGCAGTTTAAATTGCAGTTCAGTTCAAGTTTTTATAGTATAGTTCAGTTCAGTTCAATGACACAAAAGAATAGTTCAGTTCAGTTCGTCTGAACTAATATTTAGTTTAGTTCAGTTCATATGAACTACTTTTAAGTTCAGTATAGTTTTTATAAGTTCAGTTCAGTTCAGTTCGTTTTGTCCACCCCTAACCGCAAATGACTAAAAGCCCCTCAAATATTTCTTTTATTCTTATCCATCTTTCAGTTATCAGTGGTTGGTGGTGGGTACTGTGGTCATATTTGTATTACACGTTTACGACAGCAACATTTATCCAAACTCTACCAAATGAAAACGAGAGTAAATGAAAAGGCATAATTCTAACAATTTATAATATTCTTTTAATTAAAGAGAGGATTTTTTTAAAAAAAAAAGACACATGAAAGCATGCAATAAAATGAATAATTAACTAAAAAGGATTCTAAATTATTTTTTTTTCTCTTACTATTATCATTTCATGATCAAGTCTTTTCGATTTTCTTTCACTAATTGAATCATTTATCTTAATGATACAATTATGAATGGATTATTAGCTTGATATCTAATAATAAAAACGAATAAGACATTAAATTTGTGAAGAAAACGAAGGGACTAAAATTATAATAATAGAAGATAAAAAGTGTAATAAAGGAAAAAAAAAAACATGGTGAGAATTTGAATTTATCATAAATAATATAAAAAAAAAAAAAGTGGTGGCAGGTCGTCACAGACACATTTCCTGAAGAAAAAAATGAAAACGAAGAGAGCTGAGAAAATGACATGTTTCGTTAATTCTTGCAGCTGAATGATTGTAATGACTCCGACCCATGTTTCAAAATCGTTCCTTGAAATTCTTGGCTTCTGTTTCTCCTTCAATTGATCTCTTTTCTCAGCCACCACCAACTTCCGTGACCCAAAGCACCACAAGGGTAATGCCATGTTCCCTTCCTTATGAAGACATTAAAGAAAACTCTGATTTTTCTTCTACTTTTTTTGTTTGTTTGTTTCATTTGCTGGTTTTGTGATTCAGATCTCGATTGAATTTATGCTTTTGCTGAATGCTTTGCAAATTGGGGGGCAATGTTGGCGGAATTTGTCTCTTACTTGGGGTTATGGGGAATCTCTTAGTTTATTTGTTATTTGCTTTGAATTGTATGTTATTTGCGTGAATGCTTACTTGCTTTTTTTGTTTGCTTTCTACATGAAGCTGTGTTGTCTTATGAATACATTTGAAACCGACACAAGTCTTGAACTTGTACTGTGATGATGTGAAAATTGATTTGCAGGGCATTAGCCAGAATATGGCCCTTAATTGGTCTGAAATTCTTTATCCTTTTGTTTCAAGTGAGGAAAATTTGAGATCTAGAAGTAACATATCTGTGTTCTTCACCTACTCTTTTTTTTTTTTTTTTTTTTTTTTTTTTTTTTTTTTATCTCAGATCTGGAAGGGAAGTAGATTGAATTAATGAATAAAATTTTCATACATTGAGTATTAGGTTGGAATGATACTTGATAAGATTTTTGATAATCCAGTTTTCTCCATTTAATAGATCTAGGAATTTTCATTTTGAATCTGTTTACTTATCATGCAGCAACAGCAATAGATGAGTGTTGTTCTTTGTCAAATCCTGTGACCTTCAAGTGACAATAACCGTAAGGAAGCTTGGAGGTACTTCTAGTCTTTAGAAGGAAACAAGTATTAATGTTTATACTATAATTGTTGTGGGCATTGGTTATTTAATTTGGATATGATGGAGTTCTGTGCTGGAAGTTCCCATTCAAACGGGAAACAAACTTTGAAGCATTCTAAATCTGCAGATGAAGTGAAAAGATCCAGTGAAAAGGTCCACAGAAATTCTCATTCCAATGGAAAGCAAAATTTGAAACAAACTTCAACTTTTGTTAATCATGGTGAGCTTGTCTGTATATTTTTCATAATCTAGTAATTAACCTTTTCCTTTAGCTGTATTATGTTCATCTATTTTGCTCTAGTTTACAACTTGAAAAACAATAAACTATTCTAACACCCCATATAGCTGTTGAAGCTATTTCGTTTTTGCTAGTTACAAGGATGGTATAGAATAACTTTGTCTATCTGAAGGAAATTGATTCAGGGAAGTGAAAATAGAATATGGCTAACCCAAATTGGGCATGAAGGGTTAACCCAAATCAGGCATTTTTGTGGCTTGCATTTGAATAAAAAATGTGATCCCTTGTTTTGTTTTATGATACTGATCAATAACTTAGTAAGGAAGAATATAGCAAACCATAACAACTGAAATCCAAATATCTTTGATCAAAAGCTACATAAAGTATGACAACAACAATGAAGAAAGAAGAAATGCTTGATGTGTGAGATTGTGAGCCAGCCACACTATAAATAATACCTATGCAATGACAAAAACAATAGTTATCATTTACGATCATATATCACCATGGGGTAGTTATTAACTATAAAGGATTTAAAGGATATAAAGGAATGGCTGATATAGTGAAAGGGCAAAGTTTTGTCATGGGAATGCTAATGATTAATTGTTGTTGAAAATAATCAATAAATGCTTCAAAATATACCTAATTGTGCTAATTGCTAATAAAATAGCTCAAGAAAATGCAGTTTGGGACACTCACAGAGCATTTGGTTAAGCATATTTTGATAAGATTTACATTGAAACTTATTGAAATAAGATATAAAATAAACAACAACAAATCCTTATTCCACTAGGTGAGGTTGAGGTTGGTTACATGGATCCCACAATGCCATCCGGCCTGGTTAAAGACCAAAGTTTCAGCATTAATTATCATGAGATCCCTCTTGACCACTTCTTCCAATGTCCTTCTTAGTCTGCCTCTCCTCTTCATAGTACTAAAAAATTGTACAATTTACTCTTGTCATTGGTGCCTTCCATGGTTTTCTTTATACATGTCTAAACTACCTTAATGGTTTTTTTGTTTGCTTTGTACCTTTCCATCAACATCTGCTAAAGATAGGTTGCTTCTGTTGTAGACCTTCCTGACATATTGTGTTTCCTCTTGGCCTGTGCTCAATCACCCTTTTCCCATCGTTATATAATGATCACAAGTCAGAAGCTTTTCCTAATACTCCCTAAACCAGTTAAAAAAAAAATGTACATGTGCACTTCTGAAATGTAATGATATACTACTTAAACTTTCAGCAGATGTAAATACCTTTTGGATCTATATATACGAGGACTCCAATTATGTAGTCAGAGACAAAAAGCTTCAAATAACTAACTCAAATAATTATAGAAACAAATAATGAAATAGTACTAGCTTTATTATGTTTTTTCTTTTTTCTGTTTATATTTTAATTTTGGCTTAAATTTTTTTTTAGTCCCTCAAATGTAGGGTAATTTGTTTTTGGTTTCTCAAATTTAAAACTATTATTTTTAGTCCTTATAATTTTCAAAAATTTTGTTTTAATCCCTCAAGTCACTAATAATATATCTAAATGTGATTGATTGAGATATGCAACATCAACTGAGTTTAATGTGATGTTTTCACTAACAGGAACATCAGTAGGTAGATTTTATGTGATAGTATTTGATAGATCCCTTGACAAAATTTGAAATTATAGAGACTTAAAAGACTACTTTTAAATTTGAGAAACTAAAAATAGAATTACCTTAAATTTAAGGAACTAAAAACATATTTAAACCTTTAATTTTTCTATGTTGTTGTTTAAAACCTGACATGATGAATTTATTTGCAGCTGCAATTGCTTGGCATGAGGATAGAAGAAAATGGGTTGGTGATAAATCTCAACATCCACCAAGAATAGCCAAGGATCCTATTATTAGGTATAACTCAATGCAACTCCCTTTTTGTCATTCACAGGAGGATCAATCATTGTTAGTATAGTCATGATGAAAGATATAGAAGGGGTTTTATCTTATGTTTTTTGTGAGGAAAAACAAGAAATGAGATAAGATAGTGGTAGAAGGGGTTTTTTCATACATATTTTTCTAGTTTCTAATAGATAATTACAGTCTTATGGGCTGAACTAAAGTTTCTTCATTGATGTTTAAGACATGGAAAATCATTTTTCTCTTGTATGTAATTTGTTAAATTAGTTTTATGTTGAATCCTATTCCTTACCTGATAAACAATTATATTGGTTGATTGACGGGTACTTTTAGAAATTAAATACCAAAATGGGGTTTTTTGAAAAATTTTATTGACGGGGCTGTTTTGACTGGATCAATTCGTTAGTTTGACTAGCGAGTTGCATATCATGTTAATTTTATTTTTTTTAAAGACTATGACTGAATTCCACATGGGCGAGTCCTGAACTCATCACTAAGATGGGCAAGTCTTACATGACATGCCACGCAGCATCCTAGTCTAAATAAAAAAAATTACATGTTGACAACTCGCTATTAGGAACCGCTAGATCCCCAACAAAAACCTAACACTGTTGGACACATAGCAGCAACTCACTAAAAGTGGCTGCAATAGTAGCGAGCTGCTGCCAGAGCGACCGTTGGAAGTTGGAACCTCCCCATGGATTGTTCCAGTTGCAGTAGCTAGTTCTGGCATCAAAAGAACTCAACTAAGCATAAACCCTTTTCTGATCTTTCTTTAAGTAAGCAACACATTTTGTTTTATTCATTTAGTTTAATTCATAAGTTAATGCTAACTGTCACCTGTACATAAATTTTAATATCTATTCCACATATGTAATAATTATTAAATTACTAAAGTGGTCGTAAACTTCAAAATTGATTGAATTTGGCTGACATTACCCATTATTAAAATGAAATAACTAGTAACTACTAATTGTTAAAGAAACAATATTCATGACTCAGTTTCTAAGAATAAGAAAATCTTTAACAAGTATTGAAGAGAACTTATATCAGAATTATATATTTTTAAACAACAGAAAGAAAATGAAATGAAAAATTCCAAGGTAAAACAAATAGGAAAAGAAAGTGTAGGCTTCAAATTCAATAAGTTTGGATTTCATGTGGATTCTCAAGTTACAATTTTAATTTTTTTCTTGGTCCATTTTGAGCCATCTGATCCACTGGTATCTTTATGTCTGATGCAACTGGGAAAAGAAACCAAATTCTTGAGACAACCAAGGTGAAAACTGACTATTAATTTGTTTAATTTTTTCATGCAAGTTTCCGGTTGCCAAATTATTATAGATGATTTTAACATATTTGATTAATTTTTTAAATTCTTTATCTTGAATTTTCAAATTATATGTTACTCATTTAATTGTTAATAATTTATTACTTATTTTTAAAATTGAAGACGCTTTATTGATTTAATGTTTCTATTATCTTCTTTGATAGGTTGGCTGTATAACAAGATTGGTTCCACAAAAAGGTGTTCATCTTATTAGACATGCGATATTTCTAACATTGGAGTTGGGAGAACAATTTGTTCTACTTGGTTCAAGTCCAGTGCCACATATTCAGGTCGTATTTTCTTTCCTTGTGGCAGAAATTTATTGGTATTCTATTGTTTTTTAGAAAGAAGACAGATCAAACAATATAGAATATTTAAGTAAGCAACACATTTTGTTTTATTCATTTAGTTTAATTCATAAGTTAATGCTAACTGTCACCTGTACATAAATTTTAATATCTATTCCACATATGTAATAATTATTAAATTACTAAAGTGGTCGTAAACTTCAAAATTGATTGAATTTGGCTGACATTACCCATTATTAAAATGAAATAACTAGTAACTACTAATTGTTAAAGAAACAATATTCATGACTCAGTTTCTAAGAATAAGAAAATCTTTAACAAGTATTGAGGAGAACTTATATCAGAATTATATATTTTTAAACAACAGAAAGAAAATGACATGAAAAATTCCAAGGTAAAACAAATAGGAAAAGAAAGTGTAGGCTTCAAATTCAATAAGTTTGGATTTCATGTGGATTCTCAAGTTACAATTTTAATTTTTTTCTTGGTCCATTTTGAGCCATCTGATCCACTGGTATCTTTATGTCTGATGCAACTGGGAAAAGAAACCAAATTCTTGAGATAACCAAGGTGAAAACTGACTATTAATTTTTTTAATTTTTTCATGCAAGTTTCCGGTTGCCAAATTATTATAGATGACATAGTATTTGTGCTATATGAATTACTATACCTTTTTCTGAATAATAGGTTTGAGAACTTGTTATGCCTCTCTTTTAGCTTTATCAGGAGTATAAATGATGGCTTATCTCTTAATTAGTATTTTTCTTTGATTTCCTCTCAGGAGAGATTGTAGTTTTAAGGATAATGTCCTCATATAAATCTGTGTTTTATTACTAATTGGTTTATAAATTCCTGCAATACGTGCTTTCAACTGTTCTGTGCATTCGTTTGGCGTAGCTTCTTAAGGCAACTCTCTAATAATTTAAGCATTTTTATTTCAGCTGGTCAACGTCATATGAAGAGCTGCTTTCAACTTACGAACCTTTTGCAGAGCCAATACCGTTACCTGTAAGATTCCAAAACGCTTACCTGAAAGAATCTAATCCAATGCATGAAAATGTTTGTGTTCATATGGATCTCATGATGTAATAATCTATTTATATAATATGTAAATCTTGAAGCATGAACTATAGTGTTAACAATTAAATTAACCCTTTCTTGCCACATCGATATTGATTGTTGTGTCACAGTGTGGTTCAATACTTCAATTTCTTACTTTCTCTTAACAAGTTCACACCCATTTCAAAACTTATTCTTTTTGGTTTCTCGAATGAATAAGAAGTCAATGGTTACGTTTTACGAAATTATCATGTTACTCAATATTGAGTCACTTCTATTCTATGTAATTATATTTGTATTATTACAATGCAACACTTTTGCCTTCTCAATAAATATTTTCACAAGCACTTGATTGATTTTTCTAACATTGACAGTAATTCTTGCAAAAATCCGACACCTTGTCTAAAATTTTAGATTATTTATTTTATTACTTAAAAAAGATGCAGCAGAGAAATATAAAAGGTTTTGTAGCTTTACCTGTTATAACATATTGAGGGAATCTTTATTGTTGTCTTTCAGAGTATTCCAGCATAACAACATTTTATAATTATTCATTATAAGCTAAAAAATTCATGCATATTTCCTCCATGTACTGAAACAAATTTGATGAATTGATGGCTCATGCAGGAGATGGTAGATTTCTTAGTTGATATTTGGCATGATGATGAAGCCTTCTTTGACTAAATTGATGAAAGTTTTAGTTAAATGGCAACTGAAACAAGAACTGTGTAAAGCCTTTAATCTGCAATGACCTTCATTGCTCTTGTAGGTGTCTGCTCACTGAAGTACTGATCATGATGGTAGAGGGAAACTATTGGATGTTCCCCACATAAGCCTCCTAGCATGAAATCCTTTTATATGTAGAAATCATCTTCAGGGTTAATGGTTATTATTTTCCACCATTTATCAAATAGCAAATTCCATTATTTTATAACACAGTTTATTTATATCTGCTGATGCATCAGCAAACGTAGAACTTCATATCCATGTATTAAATTAGATGCTTTGATCAATACTCGTTATACTTCTGTAGAATTGAAAAATGGCGCAGTTCTGTTTGATTGCTTCGTTTTATTCATGTTTGGTTGACACAAAGATAACGGGTAAGGAGAAACAAACCAGAAACTACATGATATTCTGCTAACAAACATACAGAACTCACAACACTTGGCTAAGAAAAGTGTTAGTAACATATTCCCTTTTAACACACTTTTTATTCAGTTAAAGTTTATTCAAAATGACAAAATTACGAGTGAGGATTATTGAATAAGTTCAACTTAAGAAAATCAAGTTTAATAGACTAACGTCTTTAAATTAAATGAATTTTGCGTTAATATTTTGACCTAATTAAAAGTAACTTTTATCCATAAAGTTGAAAATTATATATTGAGTTTTATTATAAATTTATTCTTATGCAATCTTTTAATTAAAAAAATTACACTGCGGGGGAAGCTTACGAAAGAGCGTAAAATTCGTAAGTTGGAGAGCCCCATCCTCTTGCTAAGATGTTCTTTAGATAATAAAAATAGAAAAATATTGAGACAAACATAAGAATAATCTACATCATTGAAGAAAAAAAGGGTTATAAAACCGTGATATTCTCTAATGACATAACATAAACATAGACTATAGTTAAGGTGAAGCCATCGAAGTAAAGTAAGATTAGTTATTATTAACAGAAGAAAATGTCTTGCAATACAACCAAACCAATAGTTGTAGTTGGATACACGAAACAAGAGATTACACTTGCACTTCTCAACCATCTTGAAAGGTAGGTACAGTTTAAAATTTAAAAGAAAATAATAATAATAATAATAAGCAAAAACTTTAAAACTTTAACGTAAAGCAAAAAATATTCTTTAAGAATGGCAATGAGACGTGCAAATTATATGTGGACATTGGTTAAAATATAAAATTTTAAATAGAAAATAAAAAATAAAAAATAAAGAAAAAGAATTTATTAAAAAATATAGTTAGTTAGTATTTTTAAAGTGGGAGTAGTCATGACTCATATCATATATTAGCGTTTGTTGTGTTGAGCGAAAGTGTGGGAATTGAAAATGTGGCGTAACTGCATGCGGCCTCTTCTCCTTCTTCTCCTTCTCCTTCCCTTCTCCGGCGCCGTCGACATCGACGATGTTCGATTCGATTTTCCGGCGAAGAAGCTCATCAGTGAACTTAACCTTTTTCCTCCCGAAGATGTCAACATCGTTAGCCACCCCTATTCTGATGCCAACAAGATCGTCGAGAAACCGCTTAGGTTCCCAAACTTTGTGGATTCACAGTCTGGGATTTCCATCGACGACTTGGCTCACCGTGCTGGCTATTACCCTATTACTCATTCTCATGCTGCTCGGTACTTTTTTTTTTTTTTTTTATCAGCAATTTCTCTTTTTTCACTCTTGATTGCGTTCATGTTGAGTTAAACCCCATACGTGTTTTTGTATAACCTTATGTTTCGTTTCAGGAAAACAAAGCAAAACAAAAAAATGGCGTCAACTTTTAATAATTCTTCCCTCACAAACTGCAGTTCTAGCATTTAGAAAATGTCTCAAAATGATTCATGATTTCACTTTTCAAGTTAATGTTAAGTAACTTTTTCCTAATATGGCTCTTCATAAATTATTCAATCATCATAATTTTAAGTAATGTATTTATTGAGACACTGGACTATTTTAGTAAAATTTTATAAAAAATAATGATACATTCTTTATGTGTACAAACCTTAAATCACAATCATTGTGGTGCAGAGGGAGTAAGGGTTTGTTTATGTATAAGTTGTCTCTATAATGGAAATAGAATCAGGATTAAGTTATTTTGGGAAGCTAGTTAAAAAAAGATGAAAATAATTTAGGAATATATCATAAACTATTTTTATAAACAAGGTTTGGCTAGGGGAAGTCACACCAGCCTCAATACAAAGTAGTCCTTGATTGACAGTCTTCAGACCTTCATGTCCATAAACAAAAAATAAATAAATTATAAGCTCTTCCTATTTGGATGAAGAGGAAAAAGAATGTGAATGGAAAAAAAAAAGTGATTGGATTCAATAGTTTTCTATTGTTTTATCTTTTATGTTAGTGAAATATGATTGTTGCAGGGCAGAAACTGCAAATCCTTGGTATGTTTTCTGTTAATTACTTTTCACTTTGGGTTGAATGGTGCAGGATGTTCTACTTTTTCTTTGAATCACGGAACAGCAAGAAGGATCCTGTTGTGATTTGGTTGACTGGGGGGCCTGGCTGTAGCAGTGAATTGGCTGTGTTTTATGAGAATGGCCCTTTCAAAATTGCTGACAACATGTCCCTTGTGTGGAATGATTATGGTTGGGACAAGGTATCATTTGTTGCCCTCAACTGCTCTGTTTTCTGTCATGTGATTATCGTTTGTGGGGACTTGATAAATTGCTTGGTGACTTTTTCAGGTTTCTAACCTTCTGTATGTTGACCAACCAACTGGAACTGGATTTAGTTACAGTACTGACAAGCGTGACATTCGTCATGATGAAGAAGGTGTCAGCAATGACCTGTATGACTTTTTACAGGTACTGGTGTTTGCTCTAGATATTGGTTATAGAACATTAATGCATTGTTTTCTCAATTGGTTGTCTGACATATTTATTGTTTCTGGAACAGAGTTGTATCCTCAAAATTTTTTTATTTTTTAACATTTCTTGCTTTTCATAGGAAACCAAAACTAAGCAATGTTTAATTTTACCTTTGAATTTGATTAGAACACCTGGCTGAGCATAGCAAGTTTTCTCTTTACCCTACAGGCCTTCTTTGCTGAACATCCTGAGTATGCAGAGAATGACTTTTTTATTACGGGTGAATCATATGCTGGACATTATATTCCAGCTGTTGCAGCTCGCATCCATAGGGGAAACAAAGATAAAGAGGGAATTCATATAAACTTAAAGGTCTGTTACATCGCACAGTAAGCCATTCTTACTTTCTTAAGTTTGGGACATGCACTGAAATAGGGAAGAACTAAGAAGACTTGCCTAATTGGAAATGATTGAACAGGGATTTGCCATTGGTAATGGTCTTACAGATCCTGGGATTCAGTATAAAGCTTATACAGATTATGCACTGGAAATGGACATAATTCAGCAGGCTGACTATGATCAACTCAACAAAGTGATGGTTCCAGCCTGTGAAATAGCAATAAAATTATGCGGTAATTTACATGTGATCTTGTTCCATGCTCTCCTTTCAGTGATTGTTGTGTTTCTTTTATTTTGAAAGTTGGAAGCTAAGGCTATTAGGCTATAGTTGGATTGAACTGGGGAAATATCGTATTGTTTATTTGTAATGAATGCTGAGTACAACCTCTAGTTCAGTTCCAATTCTAACTGTTAATCTTAACTCAAGTTTCTTTAATAGATCAAGCATCTGGTTTAGTTTAAGCTTAGGTTTGGTAAATTTAAGATGTTTTAAGAAGTAATTGTAAAAAACTATATTTGTCTTTTGATAAATCAATTTTATAACAACATAATAGGTAAAAATACCTTATATGAATATACATAAATAAAGTATACAAATAGGTCTAATTAGTACTTGGTAAATGTTTTTAGTCATCTGTAGTCACCAAGACTTGCATAAATTAGTTATACAAATTCATCATTTTGAATTGTGTGTATGCCCATAGTTTATATGACAATAATTTAAACTGCATAAATAATATAATCTACTGAAGTGTATCATATCATTTTACACGTATATAATTATCTTTATCTTGACAATAAATGCATATTAATTTTTTTATGATGAATTATTTGTAAATTATACAAAGTACTTATATAATTATACATATTTATAATATTATGGTGGGAGTACTGGTCTTTTAACTGTCAGCAATCATGTGACATTTAAGTAATTTTTATGATCCTGATTATTCATGCTATATTTAAGAACTAAGAACCAAGAATCACTACCTCACTCTCTTGATGAACCCAGTCTTCTGCTTGTTTAGGGTCTTCTGATTGGCTAGTTTCTATCACCTTTCTGCTTAAGATATGTTTCAATCCTTTCAGGCACTGGTGGAAAAGTCGCATGCATGGCTTCATACTTTGTTTGTAATACCATCTTCAATTCCATCATGTCACATGCTGGCAATATCAATGTGGGTAACGCGATTGCTTCCTCTTCTGGGTGCTTTACATGTTAGTAGTACTTTATGTTGTTGACTTGACAGGGTATAATTAACTCTGATTGAGCTCTTATGTAGGAGCCCATTGAGCATTAAGCATGGACAAAATACAGGCTTGTTCATAGAAACTATGATACCATGTTAATGAAACAGTCAATCTAAAAAGTTTGTTGTCAAGTGAAGTGTGAAGATGGATTTTGATTGTCTTGAACAAATTGTGGATACCTGTTACTTTTGGTTTTGCCGCCCAGAATAATTTCTTCTGAAAAAAAAAAATAAACATCAACATGTGATATGAGGTTGAAGTAACCAGTTTATTGGAGGGCAGCACATGATTAAATGTGTGAAACATTTTCTCTCTGAATAGGCATGTGAATAGTTGACCATTTGCCTAACCAACTCTGTAACTCTTCCTTTATCACTTTCTAGGTGGCGCATATTTTGAATGAGAAATTTTAAGCTTTTTATTCTGCCTGTTTGTTGGAAGAAATTCACGTTTAAGATTTATGGAGATTGTGCCAAGTCTTAGTTAAAGGAACATCAGCATCTTCAAAATTTTGACCAGCAATTGTATTCCTGTGCTGCAGTATTATGACATCAGAAAGAAGTGTGAGGGGAGCCTTTGCTATGATTTTTCAAAAATGGAGAAATTCTTGAACCAAGAATCTGTTCGGGATGCACTAGGGGTTGGAGATATTGCTTTTGTATCTTGTAGTTCTACAGTTTATCAGGCTATGCTGGTGGATTGGATGAGGAATCTTGAAGTTGGTATTCCTGCCCTTCTTGAAGATGGAATCAATTTGCTTGTGTATGCTGGAGAATATGATCTCATCTGCAACTGGCTTGGTATGAGTTTATGCTCTTAATATTTCATACGTGAGACCTCTCATTTCAATGCAATGTGTTAATGTTCTTTTTCCTGGTGGCATGAATTCTATGATTAGGTAATTCAAAATGGGTTCATGCCATGGAGTGGTCTGGTCATGAAGAATTTGTGGCCTCATCCGAAGTGCCTTTCACAGTTGATGACGCTGAAGCTGGAGTATTGAAGAATTACGGACCTTTAAGTTTCCTTAAGGTAACAATAAAATAAATAGATATACTCCACTTACCTACCAAATATCTGTGGCTTGGTAAATGATGATTCACTCTGATATTTTATGTAATACCAAAAAAAAAACACAGGTCCATAATGCAGGTCACATGGTTCCAATGGATCAGCCAAAGGCTTCGTTAGAAATGCTGAAGAGGTGGATTCAGGGAACCCTGTCACGATCTGGTGGTGATGCCGAGAAATTGGTTGCTGAGCTGTAATAATCACTTTTATCTAAAATGTAATGCAAATGCAATAAAGAGAATAAACTAGCATTTGTTTTTCCCTACCAACCTGAACACTATCTAAAATGAGAGTGAATCAAGGCCATGCAAAGAAAGAAGCACTCAGAATTTCGTGTTTGTATGTATATTATTTTAGTAAAATGCTGAGATGTAAATTGCTTACACAGCAAACTTCATATTGTGCGATTATAATTGCTTACACCTGCATCCATTACCGAGTGATGCAAATTTTAATTGATACTCCATTTGTCTTCATTGTAATTTTAGCATTTGAAAAATATTTTAAAATAATTAATGTTTTTACTTTTTAAAGATAGCATTAATTTCTTAATTTTTTAATAAATTATTCAACCATTATAATTGAGTAATATATTTATTGAAAAATTAGATTATTTAGTAAAATTGTAATAAAAAAAGAGTATATTTATTGTTATTCTGAGTGTGTGTACAATTTTTAAACCGTAGTTATTATGGGATAGATGGAGGATATTTTAGTCTACGAATTTTAGTTTTTGTATTAACTCAACATTTAATGAAAATGGAAAAGTTATTAATTTTGAGGTTTGCATAACTGTATTTTAAAGTTAATTTATAAGTATTTTTGTACTTAATATTATTTTTAAAATATATGCATTAAATGAATTAAAAATAAAATGTTTTAATTAAATAATTTATAAGTATTTAGTTTATTAAATATACATTAGTTTGTACTAAATAGTATATAAAAATTAATATACGCTATTCAGTATTTTAAATTTAATATAATAATTAACATATTAAATTTAAATTAATATACTAAATAAATTTAAATTATTTTATTTTTAAATGTTACTTAAAATTTTGTATATTAATTTCAAAGTAATAATATTTTTTGCTGAATAATAATATATGTACAATAAATGGAAATCTATTTTAGAATTTCGTAATAAAAATAAAATAAATAAAATTGAATAACTAAATTGATAAGACAAATTTTTTCATGACATGATTGATAATGTTAGTATTATTTTAATTTGAATAAACAATAATTTCCGTAATTAATTCTCTAATCAAAATATATTTTATTTTTAAGTTATTTAAATATTAGGTATAAAAGCATTTATAAATTGCCGTTAAAATAACTTATTAGTAATTAAAAATTGTTATATGCAAAAACAATAACATAAAACACTTTAAAATTTACTTAAGAATTGTATACATAATAAAATTTCTAGCATTTATTATTTTTCTACTATAATTTAATACTTTATATAAACTCTACAATTTTATAGTGTTCTTTTTTACTTTCATTTTTCTAGTTATTATTTATAACTCCATAACGAAGGTAACATACCCATAATTCGATAATTTCACAATACACCAAAACATTTGATGATCTTCATCATCATTTTTCCGACTCTAAACAACTTAACTTTTATCTAAAAAATTATTTATCTCACCAGTTAATCAAAAAAAAAAAAAATTTGGAAGTTCTTGATGTGAGAAATATATTATCAGCAGTGTGTGTATGGAAGTGCCATACATCCTCATTAGAAGAAGAAAGAAAAACAAAGAGAAGTGGTCATGTCATCTGCCATTGCCATTGGATTATCGCTGAATTGGTGGTTGCGCTGTCACGCGCGAATGCCTCCTTCATCTTTTGCAATTTCTGCGTCTTTTTCTTCTTCCTCTTTGAACTCTTCCAAGTTCAAGTATATTCAGAGAGCATCCTCTGAAGGTTAAATTTTTAATCTTATCATATTGCCTTTCATCAAATCAACTTCAATATGTCCACATTCCTACTCATAAGTGATGTCAATTTGGACTTGGAGCTGCTGGGCTTTACTTATGTAATTTTTATTGATAAAAATGAGAAGAAAAAAATGATTTTTTTTTCAGGGGTGCTGCAAATTACAATTCTTTATTTAACGTTTTTTCCATGGTGCACTTCAGGGCTTCCTAATGAGTTGGTTGAAGAGTCGAAATTTGTTCCTTTGAATGCAGAGGATCCTGTATATGGTCCACCTGTAAGTCATGGTTAGTTTTGAATGACATGTTAAGTTATGGTGTCAGATGGGAGATATTTTGTCTTCATTTCATATTTATTTAGTTTTGAAAATTTAATTTGGGTGAGTTTTGTGGATGTTTAGACTATCTTGCCTGGGCTCAGAACTTGGTAATTTTGCTCTGACTTCATATGTAGTCAAACACAAAAGTTTCTTTCATTTTGCAGGCATTATTGTTGTTGGGCTTTGAAGCAAATGAAGCTTTGAAGGTGATCTTATCATGATCCATGTAAATAAATAATGTGGTAGTTTCATATGTCTTGAAAGATTTTACCTTTAATAAAGCATTGAAATGCTTTCTGCTGTTTTTTTTGCTTGATCCCATTCTCTCCTCTTTCTCTCTTTCTATAAGTGCCATTCAGTGTACTTGAATTTCTAACCAACCTTGATCTGATTATTGTTTGTTCTTTCAATTTGACGACCCGATGATCGATGGAATAGCTTTTCTTGATATTTTTGCTAGTATTGAGAATCCTGTAAACAGTTATAAATTATAATTACAGCATGAAGGTTACCATGTAATGTATAATTAGTTTTTAGCATATAGTAAATTACAATACTAATATAGCCAGCACCAGAAGCTTAAGACGATTATCAACTGATATTTCACTCTAGATGTATTTGCATTCAATTACCTAGGCCTTATATTCTTTCCAAATATACCATTTAATAGTATAATGTGTATCCTGATCTTGAGCAGATTCAACAGCTTTTGAAAGAGTTAGATGGTGAATTCCTCAAGGTAACATCACATTTCTTGTCTTTCGTGATCATATTTTATTGGAAAACCAAGATCAATGGAGCCATCCACTACTATATAGTTATTATTTTATTATTGTTTCCACAGACATATCTTCTTATTAGACTAAGATATCATTCTCTATAATGAGGATTGTGATTGTCCTTAACAAATCTACAGAATGGATGAATAATAATCAAATAGTTTTCATTCTTTTTTTGCTGGATTTTTAGAAAAAAAAAACAAAGGATGGCTCTAGCTTGTGTTAGGCTCGATACATGTTGGTTTATTACATCTTAGTAAAAAATATATAGAGAATGTCTCATTTGAGAATGAAAGTATATTGTGGGAGGATAGAAGCATGGACTCATCATCAAATTAAAATGGGTAGCCAGATTAAACAACCACATAAATGGCTGAATATTGTTTCCAAGTCACATTCAATTGATATAATCCATGCTGTCCTTCACGTGCTACTCTTATCTTTCAAGTTTCAACAGACCATTGCTTCAAGATTGCATGTTTCCTATAAAACATCATCAGAAAATAACTAGGAATGTGATAGAGTAGATCACATGGCACAATCAATTAAGGATACAACATTAGAAAAACAAGGAAAATTAATATTTATATTTTACCCATAAAAGAAGAGCGACCTAATGCCCAGGACTCCCAGCTAGATTCTTAATAGGGTAGATGCATGTAGCTTCCAGCCCGTGACTAAAATTTGGATGAAATGTAACAATTCTAATTTCCTTGGTTATCCGAAATAAACTGAAAAAAAAATAGTGAATGTAACTTATTGGATAATGTGCATTGCAGATCCTCTATTGTACTGAAGATATGATTACCCGTTCGCTTTGGGAGGCAATGCATACAACACAACACAGTTTAGAAGAGGTCAAGGTATAACTTTTGGAGCGGTTAATGATGTAATACATTCATCTAACTTCTCTCACTATCCCCTCGTGAATTTTGTACTAAGTGATAATAAATAGTAGGGAAAAAATGTGTTAAGAATCAGCTTATCCATTGTGATTGCTACCTGGCATTTCATAGAAATTCATCATTTCTTTAGTATAAATTTTATGTAGACATTATTATAGGATTTCGAATATCAAAGTTGTGAATAACTCACACCTAGAGTGAGAATTACCTCTAATTTTGTGAGCACAAGATACCTCTAATGCACCTAAGCACTTTCAGCAAGTCACAATACTTCTCCTTAAGGTGGTACACATTGATATTTCATTCTGTCATGTGACAGTTCTTAACTTGTGAACTATATTCAAACCTGTGCATATTCGGTATTTTGTGCCGTGCAGATAGCCAAGTCTCTTCCTCGGATATGTTTCTTGTCTGGTCTAAGCGGAGAAGAGATGATGATGTTCATAGATGCTTTCCCCGAAACTGGTAACAAAAATAGAATCATATCCTTAGGGTCTGTTGAAGTCCTTAATATTTCTTTCAGTCTTGGCAGATTCCATGTACCTAGAATAATATATCTACTGGTTTTATTTTCACACGCTTATCTTATGCAGGACTAAAACCAGCTGCATTTGCGGCTCTTGTTCCCAACAGTGCTAATAAACCACTGCAGGAGTTGATAGAAGAAATAATGGGAGACCATGAGAAGTTGGTATGTATTTGTTTTTGGAACCAATCTTTATCATTATCCATAAGCTTATGGTTAACATAAACGATCTTATATGACTGCAGACTGGAGAGCAGTTATGAAGATTTAAATTCACACTGAATCCAGGGGAGCGATTGAAAAGACGATCTAATTTGATTGAAGCTAATATTTTTTACAGTATCATGACATGAAACTAGGCACTATATTACGATATATAATTCTCAATCTACTTAGGATTTTAAGTATATGAAAGCCACCATAAACCATTGTTAGAAGCCAACTGATTGATAAGTTAGCAACTATTAATCGGTTATCCTTTTGTTAATGCCTACATGAAAACATGGAATCGTATTCTACCGCTAATTGTATATTATTAACATCGTAAAGAAGTTATAAAAGTTGAGACTAAGGCAGAACTTCATTTAAGGCAATCTTAGGTTGATTTTCTAAACGATATAAATCACGACATTTGGACACTGGAAGTTGAATGACAACATCGTCACAAAGTAGGATTTGAATAATCACCAAGACTCATAATCACTAGAAGTATCCACATTTAGTGACATGCTTTGAACTTTGCCTCCTAAGATGCTACCTATGAAAAAAGTCATTTGATAATTTAATAAACTAATAATCAATAAAATTTTAATGTTTTTAGTCCCTGAATTTTAAGCAATTTTTACTTTTAGACCATAACAATTTTCAGTATTAATTTCAAAAATTTTCTTCCATAAAAAATTTGAACACCGAAGACCAAAAATTTAAGGACTAGAAATAAAATTCAGCAAAACTTGAGGAAATAAAATTAGTTAAAAAAACATTTAATCTATTTAAAAAAGACAAATAAAACTAAAAATTAATATTTTACTTTATTTAATATTTTTTTATAGTTGATTTAAATTTTTCTTTCTATTTCTTTTTCCAAGTGATTCAGTTTATCAAAACATGTTCATAATATCAAACATTTACAAGTCTACAAGTTTTTCCGTGCACAGTGCAAAAAACTCAAACCGCCCTTCTGTAAGTTGTACATTAACAATGTTCACATATCAAATGAAATATCATGAACACTAGACACACGATTATAATAACTCAGCAGGCGCGTTCTACTGAAATTAGGCTTGGCCCAGTTTGGTAAGTGAGAAGTGTTCGACAATTTAGCATAATACAACCTTTCTAATTATCTTCTAAAATCAGTGGAAAGTGTGTTCAAATCCAAGGACATTGAACATGATGTCCTATAATCATTTGCATAATTAAATTGAAAAACCAGTGTCAAAATTTCCTGAAACAAGCTAATGGGACAACACCAAGCAAAGCTCAGCAGCACTAAGAAATGATTTGTAAAATTGCATTAAATTGACGCATCTACATAATTCCTGTTACAAAAATACAGCAGCTCCACTACAAATATACAAAGGCCACGAGGTGAAATAATTGCAAGGGTAGTAACGAGACCGCAAGTAATCCTCTGATGCTCTGCAACAAGTTTCGTAGTTTGAAGGAGACAATAGCTGGATTGATTTTTACACATATTCATTCATCTATACCCACCCGTATTGAAAAAACATATGATGCGCTGTATGCCACAGCATCAATGGGAAAATGTCTTGGAAATCTGACAATTATAAGGAATTTTCTCGTTACCGTTACAGAGGTTCAAGGGATCCACTTTTCAATCTTTCCATTCGTGCTTGGAGACCAGACAAAGCTTTCTCATCCATAGGAAGCACTCCACCACCATGCAAGGTATTCTCAGTACCAACATGCTCTGATGCATGAGGAATCTGACTAGGAGGAACAACTCCATGATTCAAGTTGTCATTAGCACCTGTTAAGTGCCTACCACCAGAATCTGTACTCCCAGCAGCAGCTGCTAATTGCATGCTCTTCATCCTCTCCCTGATTGCATCCAATGTCCCACTGGTTACTGCAGTTTAAATGTAAATCTCAATGTCAACATTCTTTCTTATAAACTTAAAATTAGGTTCAAAACAACATGAATACATTACCATACCTCCTGTCATAAATCTATCATTTCTTTGGTCACCTAATGTATAGTCAGAATTTAATGCTCTAGAATTAATGGCATTCACAGCCCTATTCTCCTCATGGTATGATGGGGGTAAATTAAAATTTGTCGGGTCTGGTTTCACATTTAATTTAGCATCACTCAATGGGTTTGCATTTACAGGTGAGAGAGGTGCAAAATCAGGGGAAGATATATTTAAAGATGCTGGTGGAGGAGTAGGCATTGGTAAACTTGAAGGAGTTCTTCCAGCAGCAGCATTCTTCTCCATCTGCCAAAATCAATTAACAATGGTCAAATACTCAATTCTATTACTCCAAATCGTTAGTAAAAATACAAAATGCGCGTTCAATTAAGAAATGTGGTAATACAAGTAAATTAACTCAACCTGAGCAAGACCATCTCTAATATAGGTGCGAAATGCCTCACTGGCATTTTGAAGCTGAGCAAAAATGTCGACCTAAGATAAAGCACAAGAACCTTAATCAAATTAGCAAAAAGGACATAGGCTGAACGTTTATTAACCATAAAAGCTAACATAAAACATGAAAAATAATTGGAATGTGTTTGTGATTGGAACGGCAGAAGTAAAGCAAGGAGAGAAAAACTCGAAATATAGGAAAAGTGGAAGGAAGGAAAAATTTGCATTTTCGTTTTAGTCAACTTGTCTCCAACAAAACAAAAAAAAAATACATTAGTATTTGTGTTTTCTTTCCTCCAAATCTAACAAATTATTAATTCTTACCTTTGGGTACAATTGGGTAATCCGATATAGTTCATACAGGCCAATTGTGCAAGTTTGCTTCTCCCCAATCTTCTTAAATATAGCAGCCAACTCTTGCTGCAATTTAATTTTGAATTTGCAGTAAAATAAGATATTAGGACATAATAAAACAAGTAAAAGCAGGAAATAAATAAGAAGCATTGACATGTAAATCCATTGTTGTTAAGATGGAATTAATCAGTAGGATAATAAGATCCTATGAGTTGAGCTACATCTTCTGCACTGAATTAATCACAAGCATTGGAGTGGAATTAATGGGATTGTTGTTAATCAGAAGCATTGGAGTGGAATTAATGGAACCGTCAACAACCAGCAAGGCAAGCAGGCCCAGATTTCCAGTCAGATCCCATTTGACCCGGTTCTTATAAACCCCAAATTTTCTTCTTCAAAAATAACTGTATCTCCTGTTTCTCAATACATCAGCAACCCTAAATTCTCTCTGCTGCTGTCAGCTGCAAGCTGCAACAGCCCCACCTCCATCCTGCCCCACCTAGGGATGGCAAATATACCCGTACCCGTGGGTAATACCCGAACCCGTCCCGACTTTGACGGGGAATACCCGGTTTGACCGGGTACGGGTACGGGTACGGGTAAAACCCGATATATTGAATCGGGTACGGGTACGGGTACGGGTATGTACTTACCCGCCCCGTACCCGTACCCGTCCCCGTTCTCATTTTTAATTTGAAGGAATTTAACCCTTTATAATATTATCACCACCACATGGGCCCTAGAAAATCATTACTCTTCTCTAAAGATGATCACCTGCATCTTAGTTTTAAATCTTTTTGTAGAGTTTAATTAGGAAAGATATGCTCCACCACAGTCTAATAATTCCTCCTAACAACCGCGTGAGCATAGCATGTCAAATATGAGCCCCTAATCGTTAGTCAAGCAGCAGAGTACGCATTATCGCAAAGGAAAAAGATCGCAGTTTATTGAAACCTGCAAGCAATTTATTAAAAAAAAAAATAAAAAATAAAAAAATTGACGGGTACGGGTACGGGTACGGGTATACCCGATACCCGACGGGGATGGGGATGGGGATGAAAATCCATACCCGACGGGTATGGGGACGGGGATGGGGATGAGTTTTACTTGCGGGGACGGGGACGGGTATCATGAAACCCGTACCCGCCCCGCCCCGTTGCCATCCCTAGCCCCACCGTCACCTCTCTTTTGGTTCTACGAAGTACAAATTGCAAACAACTGGCTCTACTTGCAAACAACCGTCTCATATGTTTTGTAAATGTATTATGAACTTGGGTAGAGTTGTGTGCTTTGTTCTAATATTGTCTTTGTATCTCATGACTTTTTATGATATGATTTTTCAAAAGTTTGTTTAATATTGTGACTGAGAGATTATTGTCTTTATCATTGTTGCTGTTTTTATGCAGAAGCATATATAGCTATAATTTTGCATTTTACATTGAAGTTACGATCCAAGTTACAAGATTTCATCCCCTCATGATCCTTAGGTAGTCTAACAACATTAAATATATCTGCAACATCAAAAATACTGAGAAATAAAGCATAATGATACCTTTAACTGAGCATCCGCAGAATGGGTGCCCGAGGCTGAATTATTGGTAGCAGAATCGCCCCAATGGTTTTGTCCCCCAGGTCCAGAAGCGGTCAACATTCTTGCGGCAGCCAAAGTCTAAAACTCAAAATAATAAATAGTTATATAGTATAAATAAGTTTACCCCCATAAAATAAATTAATTTGTTTAAATGTATACCTCTAGATTAAGTTCAATGTAAGCAAGGATGATGGGTTGAGGTTTTGCATCAATAGGAACCATTGAAAGATGACCCTTTATCGCTGCACCCCGAAGCTTGACAAGCTCATGCAAGACAGTTTTTACCATGCGTAAAGGTTTGTCATCAGCACCAGCTCTATACAAATGAAACATTAGAAAATAAAAGTGATTCTAGTTTTATTTTATAATAAAAATAATGTAGCAACTCTATCTAAGTCTAACATAATTATATACCTTCTCCTAATTTCCTCCATTCCCAAGTCTTGCAAGTATAAATGAATGCTTTGAAGTATGCGATCAAGGTCAACATCATAGATAGTGCTCTGAAGAACCTGCAGCACAAAAAAAACACATCAATAATGAACAACAAAATTTTGATGAATAAACCTATCAAGATAGAATTTGGCAATTTCAACTCTGCTTCTTGACAATAAAAAAATAAATTTACTCTTCAATAACTCTTCAAGCCAAATTATACAAATCAACAGTACATGCTTAAATATCAATATAACCAAAACCATATATACAAGTCTAACCTGTTAGTAAATAGGTTAACAATGGCTTTGTTAATAATTGAATATCAAATAGATATCAATTACATTCTAACCTGTTGAATAATCATCCACTAACTAAAATTCATAATTCATCCAATCCATTAAATATTATTGCAATTAATGGATGAATAATGATGGGATGAATGATATAAAACAATATCAATTTATCACTACTTATAATTTAGATTGGAGTCTA